CAACAGATTAGTTGCTGCATGTCGTTGCAACGTTGCACACTAATCCAAACTGATATTGTAAATGCGAAAGTAACTTTGACTGTCTGTCACCCTTTTACGCTTAACCACTGAAATATTTAGAATATATTATTAGGTATGAAAATAGTTGAGACTCAAGGGAAAATATAGATTAAATTAATATTTCAATTTTATAAAGGACACGCAAAGTAACGGACTGAAAATTATGCGGGTGAAACCGCGGGCAAACACTAGTACTGAATAACTTCATAATCTATCAAGGAACATTTACATACACAATATTATTGAACTGACCATTGCATTCAATTTCTTTGTTGAGTCTGTGAATAACAAGGTGCAACTTTTTTATCAGCTCGACAATTTTGCTTATCTCTCGGGGATATCGCTTCCACTTAGCTTAACATGGCGCTAAGAATGTAGTTCTAAAACAACTATAAAACTGTTTTAAGATTTCTCCACATACCTAATGTACTTGACACTCCCTAGTTTATTTTGTGTTCATATTCGATCAGACTCCTATGAATTCAGAAGTAATAAGACAAAAATATATAAAGTTTAGTTCTTGAAGAATTGTGGCAGCTCATTCAAGGCACACACCACGCATTCTACGTCGTGACTAACACGAATTTTCAAAGATTAATAAACTATAGAACATGGGCAAATATGTATAAAATAAAATATGTATGAAATGTATCTGGGTTTTGGGATGTATATGCATTACTCTAATTCGCATAATCTGAAACCGTTTTACCGTACAAATCGTATTTGAATCAGTTTGGTGTACGTAGAGTCGCATACAAAATGGAATTCGAATACTTAAAAACTCGACTCCCGTATGTGTTGATCAGTTTTATCTCGCAGCATCGAGGCAGTCGGTGCCGATAAAGGAAGTAGATAACACGATTCATGTTTGTATAAAAAGGAATACGTTATTTCCATTTAACATGTTATTGGTAATGCTACCTACATTAGAACCTATTAGCAAGCAGAAATAATTTATTACCATTTCAGATAGTCATGTATCGGTAACTTATGCATATAGATCCTGACTAAGTAGGTGCCATGGTGAGAGTTAAGCCTTCGCGTACTTAACTAACATAAACGTTTCTTATAAAAAACACTATGTAATAAAAGGGTCTAAACGAAAAAGAAAAAGTATTTTTACACTTTGATATTTTTTACATTGACTTCTGTGACAATATAACTTTCACAAGTAACTTTATACGTAAGTAAACATGACATATAAATGGCATCTGAGGTACAAAGGCGAGCGGCTCAGATAGATCAAGTTATAACGTCAATCACCGAAAGAAATGGACACACAATCCACTTACTTTATATTATTTTCAAAGGCACATACCTACCGACACGATCTTGATGCTTATCGGATACATACACATTCATTATGCAACCATTAAACGCCATCACAAAATCTCGGAGTTTAATGTTAACATCTTGTGTTTTGCAAATACGATGTTGATAGAGTAAATATGTGTTGTCAGCAACATCTCGTCGCCACCCACCTGCGACTACCGTTTTTGTTCAAATACAAACTCAGTAGCGAAGTTGCACAACGAAACGCAATCTAGAAATGTTTTCACAGATCGCAGAAGCCGCACTCGAAAGTTTATTACATGCGGAAACATGTCCAGATATCAAAACATCGACATGTTTGATAGGTGGCTATTCACACGACCGCGCAAATAGTCGAGTTGTGGTCGATTAACATAGAGCTTGAAAGCTAAAGTTAAATAAAGCCATACAAGTGTGTAGAGCTTGTAAACATACAGATTATACATATCGTTATCGACAAATATCTGCCTGCGACACTTTATTTTTGATTTAAAATCTTTTATCTGCTCCAATTTTTGCGAGATTAATTGGAGTTACCGTCGTGGTATTATGGCACTGTTACTCAAGCGAGAAATCACACGACCGGTGCTGTCGTTTTCGACGATTTACCTCTTTTTTATTAATAAGTATTTTTAAATTGATAATAAAAAGCATACAGTAACCAGTCGTAAAGCGAAAAGCTTAAATTAAGCTCAATGAAAAGATTTAGTGAATTACGAAATCACAGCCTTAAATTCATAATTGAGTTTGAATCTAGTTCTGAGCTTCGTTCATAATACGGACCACACACTGCGGGTAAATACGGTATCCGGGTGATAAAAAGACTCACAAGTATAAACGAGTTCAGTAAAACAGTTTAGTTCAACCGCGACCTTGCGCACCCTGCTATTTATACTATACGCAGAATATGAGTTGGCTCAGCTATTTCACGACGTCGGACTGCTGGCACATCCGCGATCAGGTTGCCCCAGGACCAGTCACGGAGCCGCCCGCGATATAAACGCTCTGGTCAATAATGCATAATATTGTTCTATGTCCGCTTTATTGCATAATTGGTACCGGCATGTCTGCCAACAGCTCGTCGCTTTGCTACCGCCATAGTTCAAACTATAATTACTATACTACTTAATTGCACAGGTATTAATCACGCCGTGATTGCAGTCCTTGTTGGCAGCGGCATATATTCAGCGAAAAGTTCGATCAAAGCTTTTGTGTTGAGCTGCCGACTTCTTTTAGCCCGCTTTCTAGCAATCAGCCTAATAAAGGGACCTTAATATTTAAATCACATAAAGTAATAAAGGTAATTGTCTTTGAAATTAGTTGTGGTAATGTAAATTGCAATAATTAAGAAGCATATTATTAGGTTCAGTTTAATAGACACGTTGTAATTAGTTTATTGCTTTTGTGCAAATACAACAAAGCCTTAAAATAGGTTAATCGATTATCGTGTATTTGTGAGACATTATTTGAAGTGTTTTATGATAAATTAAGTTTAAAGTTTCATTTACGGATATTTATGTTTCATCAAAAAACCTGTATAAAATGTATACTCAAATGTGTTATTGACTATACGAATTCATGTTTTTAATAGAGAGAGAGAGAGAGAGAAGAGAGGGCATAAATAGTTGGGGTTATCGATACACATATCTTATTAAGCTACACTCCCATTCATACACCTGAGTCTAGAGATAATCTTTAACGAAATAGGTATTTGTGTCATACATACTCCGCTGGCACAATAGAAATGTCGTCTAATATACATCGGATCGCGGTCAACCGTAGAGAGTTTGGTTGGCATTTCAGATGCTTAAATATTATAAATTCCTGCCATTAAAATATTTCTACCTAAACATTGTCGAGATTGTCAACCTACTATTAAGGCCGGGTAGCAGAGAAAATGGCGAAAATGAGGTTTTCATTTTTCATTTTTGAGGTACTAAACAGTAAAATTAAAGGCTAAGATTTTTATTGGGCATAGTTGAGGATATTTTCTAGGGCTATTAACGGATGGAAACACGATTTGATGAAGTTGACTCGATAGAATATATTCCCAAATTTACCTCTATTCGTTTTCTATTTATGGTTTTATTTTTAAAATAAGCGATTTGAGATTCTAAATCTTTTACTAAACTAAAGTTCAGAAATAACTTGAGGGCTTTTAACGGATGAAATCGATACAGAGCCCCGTACATACGTTATACATAAATTATGGAAAGAAAACACCCAGACCAATACAAACAAATATGTATGCAATTTTAGTATGATATTTTTATTTATTAATAAACAAAAAGACTGAACAAAATTGATGCGTGTACTGATTAATGTAATTAACCACATGCAAAGCTTTGTGAATTGCAACAACTATAATTTATTATCCAAGCTCTAAATAATCGCTACTACGAGTAACTGATCATAAAATGTTTTTCCAATCGCTCAAGCTCCCGAGGATCTACCGATAGGTCGGGTGACGTAATCTTGAAATTCTTTTAGCCGGCGTGGAACTTCCGGAAGGTCGGGTGACGCCACGCCTCTTTGAACCGTGTTTACTTTGGCAGTTATATTCTATATTTATTCGATTCTAAAATATATTCCCAAAAATTTTGAAAGTTGTTTTAATTTGTATCACTTGGATATGATTTGTATTAGAAAGTGCTGTGAGTGTGACGCTTGAACTGAAGGAAATCAACCTAACCTAACTAACCAACTGCGTATTTCTAAACTGCGTATTTCTATACTGTGTAGCCGCGAGAGCTCTTTGGCGCGTTGTCTTCGGCGAAATATTGCGCGCGCAGATTTTGACAGCGCGAAATACCTACTTTAGCAGAAATACCAAGCCTTAAATTGTGCACGGCGAATTTTTAAGTGTTCATGGATGACTAAATCCTAGATGGATTGAATTGTATACTATTTAGATATACATGCACGTATGTACTCGTATAAATAAATGTTATATATCTAGCAAATTTTATTTTCTGAAATTATCTAAAAGCTTACAAAGGTTGAACATCAGATTATAACCAAAAAAATAGTTTTCCGAAATTTTTTACCAATTTTAAATTAACTCTACTTATACTACATTTAGTACCTATCATAAACCCTATATTATGGGTTATCCTCTCCTCTTTACTAGATTTCGTCCAATATTAATTTATGACACTGGCATTATAAATGAGAGGCTGCATATCTAAATAAAAGTAGAGGTAGGAGTCTATTATAGTGAAACGCTTATAAAACGATAAAATGTAACAAGATGTAGTCATAAAAATGTTGACAAATGCAAACCGCGAATTTACAGCTATTTAAATAATGTCTTGTTTATCTTTTATAATAGAAACTATTAGAAGTTTTATTACATGTGGCATGCGCGTGGGCAAGCCGGCCACTCAACTAACCCGTTTTTTACATTATTGTAATGAAACGACAGACCCCAATGCAAGTGAGAGTGATCGAGTTTTTTTAGAAATCCATATAAATAAGCTATCCTTTAATGGATAGTATGTACACTTCTATAAAAAATATATTCTAGGAATGTGTATGTATCAAGGCGTGGGAAACAATAATGTCATGTATTATCTTCTAAAAATAGGAAACACTTCGTTATATTAGAACAAATATACGATGCAACCTACCTTGGTTTTTAAAAGTAGTTGTGAGGCAAGCTGTGGAAAATTTATGAATTTTTCGGTACAAAAATATCCAACGCTGCATAGACAACTCGTTAACGGAACCGGCTACAGCCGCGCACTAGCGCCACAACCGGATGTTGTCCGCCAAATGCACAATCACACTAACACAAACTCTCACGAATTTTTCTCCCAACGCTTTCACGTCTTCCACTAATTATTATCCACTTTATCGGGCATCTTCAATTTGATTTACGTCTAGCTCTTGCACAGCTCAATTGGTACACTTTTTCTTTTCGGCGAGGTAATTTAAGTGTACGTTAGTGTACCGGCGACGCCCGCGACCTCCTTCGACCGCGCGCGTATTGCACCGACCGAACCTATCGGTTAATTAGGAACCGCACGCGGCCATTACCACCACGCTATTACAGGTTACCACTAATGAGATTTTTGGACTTAATTACAAAGTTCGAAGCCCTATTATTACAAATCATTATTTTAACGAAATCTAGTGTTTTACATTTAGTTTAGAAAGTTTACAAATACCACGTAAACTTTATAGTGAGTCATTAAATGCTTGCTTCGGTTGCATTTTATCGACTCTCCGCGCTTAACACCAGACATAAACGTCTAGAATGGATATAAATCGACTAGAAATCTTGTCAAAGGTCTTCCGCATTGATTAAAGTGCAACGGTCATTAAAAACTTAATGAAAGTCAACTTAGAAACATATTTCTACTCAACATAATAAAGAACATGTCAGCGTTAGATAAGTTTATGAAATGGTCGTCAAAGGTGAGCCTGGTGCTCACCTAATAAATTAAGATCATAAATCGCAGCGTACATTGTGTGCAACAAATGAAAATATCTTTGCACAAACTGGTATGTATTTGTTCGTAGTATTGGCCGGCTACGCCGCGGCTGCATCGAGTTACGTAGCGCACACAAATAGAAAACGTTTCTGGTGCATTATTTTGCTGAGCATTTTAATTTCAAATTAGAGATGGCAGACATGGCTGTGACCGATGCGCCGGCGCAGCGATGAAAGTGGCTGCATCTGCCGGCCGCTGCCACCAGACAGTTGCACACGTGTGACCTTCACTTTTGTTTTCAAACCGCAACCAACACCACGCTAACCGATCGTCTTTCCCGATAATTAGACTATTATTATACTAACTAACGCATAACCCTCTTGATCCTACTCACTGCTACTATTTTCTCGGTAGATTGCGAGAGCTACCTACTCAATGTAGTTGAATATATTATTTTTATAAAAGTAATTTGGAGTGCTATCTGTTTGTGTTTAGTACCCTCTTCATTAATCAAAGTTTCAATGGTGTTGGATGCCAATTCATTTTTCTATAAAGATGGAGAGTCTCGAGGTACTTTTAAGAATGACTGATTAAAATCTGAATAATTATTAATTATTTTAAGTGCCCACTTAGCAATTAGATTAATATAATTATAAATAGATAGAAAATTCAATATGTTAGCAGGTGTAACAGCTATTTATTACTGCTGTCACGGTACAGAAAGCAAACAAATAGGATAACGCTCGAGGTCAATTGGTCAATCAATAATGATGATGCATTGACTGACAAGCGCGACGGGTGGCGAAGAAAGTGCTCATCAGCATTGGCGAGCAGCGCTGATTGATGTCTCGACCGCAAAAAATTGGTCTAACCTGGGAGAGAAATATTAGTGGCAACACTTGGGATGGCGTGAATCATTCGGTTAGAGATGTAAATGCAAAAATGTCAAGTGGTCTGTGGTGTAAGGCGTCATGACTTTCCTCCGTTGTCTCTTTCGGCGTCATCGGCGGGGCGGCGTGATGCAAGCGACATTAACCGTAACACGCCGCAGCGGTCGTCTGCGCATCTCGCCACGTAGCGCTGAATCACTATGAGCCCGACAATACCGGGGGCCTCTTGCCGCATTCGTGATATGTCATTGTAATTGTAATGTCGATTTATTCACAAGGTTTCAGGTTTTTATACGGCCATCATTGAAGAATGCACACGAACAAAACATCACAACATACTATGGTTAATTCGTTTGGAAATCATCTGCTGTTATCAAAGTCTCCCATAACTAAACGAGGGTTTTTACATCATAAAATGGAAATATCCATAATTGTTCAGCTATTAGAAATTTTTATGGTGCTCAGTCGAGCTCTGGACCGCCTTGCAACAATGGGTACACAGCGGACTCATCGATGAATTGACTCACGAACCACTCAATACAATTAAATGAGCGTAACTCTAGGTATCGACTGGCATTGATATTAGTCCTGAAAGCTGATCTACTTTTCGATAATAGATAATAATTAGAGAGATGTATCATATACAATTTATAAATCTTTGCAGAACGTTAAGTAGGTATTACGAGTTTATGTTTTGTAGGTACTGGCATCAAGAACAAAGCTTCAAGTGCGCTGTCAAAAGAAGCAAAGTACGGCATTACAACACTAGGCAGGCGAGGCCTGGCGTGACGGTATGTCGCGGGCCGCGTGAGCGCCACGCACGCCTCCGCGCTCATATCGCAGATTCTATCGTAACACAATATTTACTACAACACACATTTCCCCGTTCTGGAGCTGAGCATTTGCGAAACTCAATAAACTGCAATTTTCAACTTGGGCAGCGAAGTCGTCAATTATCCGCCATTATTAGTCATTCCTAATTTACAGCCGCGCAGTTATTGTGAGTCGTACGTAAATAATGCGATAATGTTCTTGTTTTATGGCGAAAAAGTACGAAAGCTCAGCGGCGGCGGACAAAGAGAAGCGAATAATGGCTCAGTGTGTCGAGTGATCATTTCGGCGCGATAATAGCGCAGAAGGCGTGGGTGCAGTTGGTGTTCTACCTAGGGCTGTCTCTTGTAACATGCAGTTCAATATTTTTATTCTAGTTAATAAACCTAAGTTATTTCCCAGCATAATGTTGATATCAGAGATTTCTTTACATTATAGAATGTCTTCCGAGTTAACGTATGGAAAAGATTTTGTTATTCACAAATTCGACAGGGACTTTCCCAGGCAGCCTACTTTTTCATAAAAGTAACAATTAAAAATATTATTATAAATATTAAATTGAAGTTATCACACAAAATAAAATCTGTTTAGTATTTATAAGAACTTCAGCCCTAGCTGTTCTAAACCCTGCGCTAACCGGATCTAGGCGCATTATAAATCATGCGCCAAGGCAGAGTTAGACCACTCCTCCTCCCGCGGCCCAGCGTCTACTGAACTAAACTAAACCGATTTTTACTGTGGACATCCAATACAGGTTCAGTAAGAAATACAATTGTTTGGCTGTGTGCTAAACATTATCATGCAACTCATTTAATAAAAAAAATTTGGGCATTTCTTGAAATTTTCAGGGACTAGAACTTTTTTCCTTACTACCCACATAAAACACCTATATTCAATAAACAATTTTATACAAAATTGTCTTAAAACCTGCTTAATATGTCGAGTTCTGATTTTAAAATACATATTATACCAGTCGACTAAGTCGCGTTCAAATACAGATATTTACAATTCCACTAAAACCATTTGTATGCAATACGTGTGCATGCAGTTTCATTCAACAGTGAATAATATATTGTCCAAACGGTTGGTAGAAACATGAATACAGATGAATTTTAGTGGTTGTTGTAGTGATAATAAAAACTAGTCTATAGCTAAAAACCAAAACTTGTTCTTTGACATAATTTTACAACTAACTAAATGAATTTTCTTGTGTGTTAAAACTATAACTTTTTATAGTGCGCAAGTCACTAGACTAGAAGTCGCAAGCAACTAGAGTTAATAGTAAAATCTTAGACACTCTAAAAAGCCCTCAGGCTTCTTTATGATCATAAAATGAAATAGAGTTAATTTAAACCGACAATTTCCTTGAAAATATAGGACTATCAATGCTCAATAGCAATATCTTTCAAAGATAGGGTAAGTTTAGAATATGATTTTTATGTGTGATAAGTTGGTAGTGTACATATACATAATCTTACGCTAACATAATCAATAACTACTCAATACCTACTAATTAAAGGCATGTAAGCACATGGCATGTAATGTATAACAGTTTAATTAATTACAGCATGAAGTATACCGAACTACATATTGCCGACTGACCGAAATTACCACCGATGTATGTAGGTCAATGGTAAGAGTTTTGAAATGCTCACATGAAACGAACTAAAGATTACGTTTGCGTGATTCTATGTGTGTTTTGTGTTAACTTTTATTTTTTAATATTACAAAATGTGCGTTAACATAATACTAAGACGTCAACATAAAATTGTAGCGTAAAAGCTTCAACTGTAATATTTTATTTCACTTTTAAATTCATTGCCATCGTTACAACTATCTGGCTACTCATAGATTAGCGTCCATACCGAAACAAAGCGTGAAATCGCTATTATAAATAATTTAATAGCCACCAATGAATATCCGACCGGTTTCATCAGTTTGGCTGTAGACGACATAAAAACTGCACTCGTTAAGTTGATTCGGAATTGATTTCACTTAACCTCTCCACCTTAGTTATTATTAGAATTAAAATATTTAAGACACTCATAGTCGCATGCATTAGGTATTAAAGAAAACCAAAAGTTATCTTGTTCCATTCTTCTGCTTATATCTTTGAGTTAGCTTTTATAACTTAAACTACTTAAAGATTTTGTAAATGTCTTTTCTATTAGTAAAGTAGTAGTCATATTTACTGGATTACTTAGTAAGTAATTTTATAAGTAACAACATACGGTTTCCACGTATAAATAATACTAGGGTTACTCTAGTGCAGATTAAAGTGCAAAACCTTAATGTTAATTTGTCCTCATGTAGATAGCGCTGCCGTGCAATTATTTCTCATGATAATAAATAGAGACGAGGTAGTAAAGAGTAATAACGTTAAATTATCTAAAGCTCTCACACGGCTACTGGTTTTAAACTTGCACAATGTTAAATGAAAAGCAATCCTGCACGATAGTGACTATTCAATTTACGCTGCACGCCAGACTGACATCACAATCGCACGCAAACTATGGATGCCCCCATTTCACATGTGCTTGATGGCTGGATGCTGAAACCTTACCGCCTTCATTCCAACAGCAGGACTTGTTAGCCTCATTATAATGCGCTGCTCGATGAAAAGCCATTTCTATGACAGTCCACAGTCCTCATAAAACACATTTCCATTTAAGGGAGAACGTAATTGTGCCGAAACAAACAGCAACAGTCTGAACACTCCGTCACTAAATTAATGTAGTTTTTTTCCATTATACCTATTAACAAGATATGTTTTATTCAAATACCACACCACGTGTTTCAGCTACTGGTATAACTCTTAATCAATCTAATATCAATTATTTTTAG